TACGATTTAGTTAGACTTAGGTAAGCTTGAGCAAAAGCATTAGACATTTAAAATCCGATATGGGGTGTAAGTAAAAGTCTAGAGTTCACATCCTTTTAAATGTACAAAAAAAAATATTACTTTTTATGTCTTAAATATAAAATCTATTTTGTAATGTAAAAGTGAATTTTACATCTAGAATCGGAAAAATAATGTAGTTAGTTTTATCTATAAAAATAATTGTATATATTCATAAATTTTAAAAATTAATATTTAATTTAATTTTAAACAAGTTCAATTGACCTTGAAATTGAAATAAGAAACTAGAATAATTGATGATGGTAAGAATGGTATCTTTTGCCAACGATAACACCAGAATATGACTCGAATCATCCAATTTTGTATTCTACTCCCTCCGATTCTAAATATAAGATTCCTTTTATAGTATAAATTACAGTACAAAAGAGGTTTTATATTTAAGAGTAGAGGAGTACAAAGTTTAAGGAATAAGTCATAATATTCATGATTTTTAATATATTTAATATTGATATTGATAATTATCCTGAAATAATTGTTGGGGTTAAACCTAACTTTGATAACCAACTAAACATGGACATCATACTTCGTACAGAGTTTATGGGGGTGTTTGGATGAAAACCAAACCATGATTTGAAAAGTGCTTTTACGGTTTACGAGGTACATATGTGAAGGAGTTTGTCTCGTTTTGTGAAAAATGCTTCTGAGAAGCATTTTTGGGAGTTGCCAAACACCCCCAATAGCTCCCTTTTTTTTTTTTTTTTGATACAGACAGTTTATAATTCTTCAAGGCATGTGATTAATACACATGTTTTGCAATGCATCAATTTAAAGAATGAATTGTACTACATGAGTACATGTCTTATGAAATACATTGGCTATGAATTTTTTTTTATAGTGATATTGATAAAGCAATAAGTATTATTCATGTATCATTTTTTTTTATTAATATAATATTTGGTCCCTCTAGTTTAGTTTTATTTTGGTTTTGATTGCTGAAATTTAGAATCCGTAGTTTTGATCGCTAAAATTTATTTTCGTTTAAAACATTAGTCCTTATAGCTTGAAAGAACTCAGAGCAGCAATTAACGACGTTAATTTGACATGTGTGGCACTAACTTCGTTATATTTGCTTATGTGGTGTGCTGACTGGGCACCATGATGCGGAGAAAATGTTCCAAGGAGCTGTGGCCTGGGTATCTTATTTTTTAAGAGACAGAAAACAAAAACGGATCCCAACTTATCGGCTAGAATCCGGTCATCACTGTTCATCGGAGAGCTTTCGTTTAGATTTGCTGTTCATCGCCAATCCCCTGCTCTCGTCTCTACTTTTCACCTCTGAGATTAGCTTTGCCCCATTGATTTTTCATTCCTCATCCTGTCATCCATGTTTCTAGATGCGAAAGTTTCTCTCTCTCCCCTCTCTTTCTTCCGATTCCCTTCATGACTTGCCTAAATAGAATAGGAAATCTCACCCCAAAAATTAACTTCCAACTCCGCATACCACTCAATATGAGATTTAGTTTTTTTGTTTTTTATATTACCAATTCTTGATCACACTGAAACACGTTCAAAATTCAAGTTTAATTGTGTCAATATCTTAATAACCATATAAATAATTCTAATATAATCTCTAGCACCAACTAATGAAAATCTTTGATTTTGTACTACCTCCAAGCTCAATGTGATCTGGAGATTAATTGGTGGATATTATAAAGAGAGAGTAATATATAAAACAAAGGGATAAGGTGATAAAACACTCCAAAAGTATTTACATCGGAGGGTTCAGCACTCGGAAGTTTTCTTGACTCAAATATGTCTTGGAAGTATAATTTCATAGCATTTTTACCCAAATCCTTTTTCAACCATTAGCTTTGACTGTTAAATACATGTGGCAATCCCACGTGGCACTAAAAATGCCAAACTCATCACCAGATGGAACTTAATATTACACCTGACAAAATATTTTTAAAAAAATGACACCTCATCACCTAAAACGTGTCTGCCACAAAAGCATCCATGTTCATGTCCGACAAGCGACCTTTGGCAATCGATCCGCGAAAAAACACCTTCAGTTCTTTTGCTTTTTCACTAATCTTCTTCTCTTTCTCATTCTCAACATCCATTATTACCATCTCAAGCATATTTAGTATTTCTTCTTTCGTTACGAAGTCCTCTTCAATTGGTCTCACCCTGGCACTTCCAGACCCTTATTCCCACATTTCCCTTTTGGCATCTCCGCATCTGAATGACATGCCCACAAAAAACGAATCCCACTGGTTTTCAGAGCCGAGCCGAAGCAAGCTCTTCCATCTGGGAACGAGACATGGAAAACGAACTACCTATAGAGATGTATACTAACGACAAATTTAGCCGATTAATTGAAACCCAAATTAATCCCCCGAATGAATCAAAGCCCCATATTAATTGCTATAAAACTAGATGAACCAAAGCTCAAACAATATTCACCAAAAAAACAAAAGAAGAAGAAGAAGAGGACGCTCAAACAATCAGTGAAATTGGAACACATCTTCCCTAATAGAAATCAAACCAAAATGCAACCCAAGTATTGGCTTCTTCACTCAACGAAGCTATATCCAATTTGTTGATTTGTCTCATCAGTACACTCTGCTCTGATTCGAGTTGCATAATCAGCAGCCGCATCTATAACTGTCTCCGACCGGTGGCGTCTTTAAAGCTTCAACGATCGCATATGGTGCCGAAAGGTCACGCACCGATCTATGTAGGCAACAGGATGGAGAGATTCGTGATCAGCTCAGAGCTTTTGAACCACTGGGTTTTCGTGAAGCTTTTGAACAAATCAGCGAAGGAGTAGGGCTACGAGCAACAAGGCGCGCTTTCGTCATTCGTTCTAGGGGGCCTCCTTGTTGCCTCAACCCCGAACCATCATCAAGACCTGAGGCAGAGAGCGCATGAGCTTTGCCCAACAAACATCTTCTTCCATGGTTGTCGGTTAGGACTTAGGAGGGATCGAAAAGAAGGATTTTTTGTTTCAAAGAAAGAGTGAATGAGGGAGAGAGAAAGGGAGAGACGATGAGTTGTAATGATGAGGTGTACAAGTCAAAATGCATATGGCTGTCATGTGAGCAATTGTAGTCAAAATTAATAGTCAACATAAATGATGGTTAATCAGAACGAAATTGCTATGAAATTATACTTCCATGGCATATTTGAGTTAAAAAAACAAAATTTCGGGTCTCTGAATATTTTCAGGTCATTTAACACCTTATCCTTAAAAGAAACCAAACCCTTTGTCAATGACTTAATGTCATTCTGAAATCTCAATCAACTTAAAATGATAAAAATCCATTAACTTCATCAATTTTTTGTTTTGTCTTACGATTTATTTAATAACCGGCTGATCCTACGAGGTTCGTTCTCACTTCTCATGTAGGTAAAGAAAACCAGTATTTAGTATAAAATATAAAATTTATAATGAGACATTATTTCCAAGACATGAAAGATTTATTAAATTCTGTGTAATGCAACAAAGTTATGCATAGTTATATTTAAACAACGTAAATCTTGAAAAGTTTGGAGGTAGATGATCTCTGGAAGTTGTAAGTTTTTGAAAGAACAAAGTTACTCAATCTCAAATTTCATTAGACCTACTATCACATTTCAAGAAGTAATTGTGAAGGGCAGGGAAATAACTACAAATTCATCTAGAATTACAGATATTCTGAAACTTTATAATTTAGTAAAAATCTCGTAAACTCCATTCATAAGCTCTTAAAGTTTGATCATAAATTTCACTATGTAATTGAATATATTGTGGATATTTTAGTTTGTCATAATTAGATTTTTAAAACCTTAATCTTTGTGCTTTTAATTTGTGAATAGCATGACTTGTTATAAATTTTAATTTATATTCTATGTTGACATCAATCAATGAGTGTTAATATTGTCAGTTCTCGTTGTTTATAGAATATCTATGATCTATCCATCATTATGTTAATACTTTCTTCAACACATTATTTTGTTTTTGATAATCAAGCTATTCTCTGATCGAATGTTGAATTGCATCTATGTATCAATGAACTAGTCATTCCATCCAAGATCACTTTTTCTAAAATATCATTCCTTCAAAACTACCTCGATTAATTGCTCGATAAAAGTAGTCTGGACCAAAAATAATAACAATAATACAGTGAGACGCCTCAGCAACAAGGAAGCAAAGATGCAAGAGTTATGCCTAAACAATGTATTCTAAGGCGATGGACCAAGGAAGCAAAGAATGGGGTTGAACATGATGTCAAAGGAAATGAGATAGAAACATATCCTAAACTTGACATAACATGGAAGTTCAGACATCTGGTGAGTAGAATGGTAAGATTGGTGACAAGGGCTACCAATACTGATGAGGCATTTACTTGTGTTGAAAGATATATCATTAAGTTAGAAAATAAGATTCCAAATGGAAATGAAAATGATACTTCTCAACCAATCTTATAGCCATAAAATATGCTAAAGGGATTCAAAGAAAGAGATGAAAAATCACGGAAGAGACATTGGGAAGGGTGGGAAGAAAAGAATCGACAAACAAAGAAGAAATGTTGTACTTTTAATTTATGTATAAAAAAACTATTACTTGTTTTGTATTTATATTTATTTTTTCATAGGACTCTCGGGACACTTCATCATTTAAGAAGCTACTAAAAAGGGGGTGGGTGGGAAGGCTTCCCCACAAAAGAAAAGAAGTAAAAATGATCAAATGAAAGATACAATAACTCAAGTTTCAACAATGTCATAAGTAGAAGCTCTAACACAACCTGCACTGACACAAAATTCCACATTTTCATTCTCAGTTCCTCCATCACAACATATTCTTCCACCCTCTACATGACTACATCACAACCATTGTCCTTTGCAAGCTTGTTGATGGTATGAATCAATTAATAAATTACTACGTGTTATATATAGCTATCATTTTTTAATGTTATAACCACTGACATTTGTCAATGTAGGCACAAGGCAAAGAAATTCCATTACTTGAAGCCATGGATCTTATGAACTATACACAAAGGTAACGAATAGAAAAATAGATGGTCTTATACAAGTCCTTTCGGATACAGATCCAATCTTTATACATTTCATCCTCTTTACACAGGTGACTTATGGCATACCTAGCTATATACATAATTTCTTTTTTATACAGGATAGTAAAATAAACAGCGGGCTCTTTTTGGCTCTTGGGGAGTGATATTTTGGCTTTTGCATAGCTCAAAAAACAACTCTTCGTAGGATTTGCTTTGCTTCAATCCTCTACTTGTAACCTACATGCAAATCAATATTTAAACAAATCAATTTCTATCCTTCACTATACTTTTTGTTTGTCAATTCCCATCAAGTAATATAAAATTTGTGTCCTTTGTTTAGCCACTTTATAGGAATGCATGCGATACTGTATAGTTTCAAGTAATGCTAATATCTAATGAGATTAGAGTGTTTACTATGTCTATGATTTTTCCAATTTGCAGCAACACAAATTGAGCAATGAAACATACAGGATTTCCAAAATAGAGGGCAAAATTCATCTGAAGCTTGTGCTACTAAAGCTTGGTCTAATATATGTCTAGCTAGAGTCTCCGCCGCCTAGGACTTGTACATTAGTGAAATCACAATAAAGCAAAGGGAAGATGAGAAATGATCAGGGAAAGGGCACATAAGAAACGATCTTGAACTAAATTTCTTTCCAACTATGCTGAAGCTTGACAGTGAGTTTGGAGCTAATTGTGAACATTAGCACATTTCACAATTAAAATTGTGTCTCTGGTTGATCAAGAATCTTTGCTGGTTTGAAACTTATAAGCTCAATATTCAACCGAATATAAATTTTTCAAATGGTGCTTTTCTTTAAAAAAAAAAATTGATTGTGGAGCTGATAAGAAAATGCAGACACAAATCTGAACGTTATGAGTGCCGAAAAAACATAAAATTTTGGGCGGCGAATTGCACAAGATGTGTGTGTGTGTGTGTGTGGCTTCTGATGTGATGAGGAATTGATAATTTTAAATCCCTAGAATACAAGGAAGAAGTAATTCTAATTTGCTGACATCATGATCACGGTTAATTTCAGTCAAAGCACATTTAACTTTAGTCAAAATATTTTTAAAATACAACACAGTAAATAGAACTCCCAAATTGAATCAGATAGCAAATGAAGTTCCAAACTTGAATCAAACAGCAAATAGAGTTCCAATTTACAAAATTGTCAGGCCCATTAGGATTTCAGGTAACAAATAGAATTCCAAACTTGATTGTATAGCAAATAGAGTTCTAATGATTGATCTTTCTTTTCTGTTTTTGCCACTTTATTTTAGAACCTATAACAGAGCAACTTGACGGAGATTGATTTAAAACAAAGCATAAGCTTGATTGAGAGCAATAAGGGGACAATAGCCAGGATTTATGCACTTACCTTCGAATCTGTGATGACGAAATGGAGCTACGAGCAAACGGAGCGAGATGAGAGCCAATGGAGCTTAGCACTGAAACGGAGGCCTCGTGTCTCTGACTCTTCTCTCTGACTCTTCTTTCTTGTCTTTGACCGCCTGAGAACCTTCCCTATGTCCCTTTCGAGCTTTTTCTTCTTTAACTCGAGTTCTTTCAAGCCTTTTACCATGGCCTCTTTCTGCTCTAGTGCATCCTCGGCTTGAGCATTTTCCTAAAAAAAGATGCACTATAATTAGTAGTTCTTTGTTTAAAAGGAAAAATACGATCGAGATAAATATCTTTAATTACCGGATCCATCAAAGCTTCGCTGTTCCGTAGATTGGTGAGGTAATCCCTACCATTTTCTTTATTTCCTTCATTCGGATTAACACGTTCATTTTCCCCATGGCAGTAACTAATAATTCAGCCGTTGAATTCAAATCATTAAGTCCCCTCTCCAACTCTGTATCTAATTCTTTATTCCAGGCCTGCAGTTCTTTAATCCTGGAACTAAATCCAACATCTCATTTCAAAATTCAAACAGCTGTATTCCTAATCGATCTTGAAAGACCAAACGAAACCAGAAACCTAATACAGAGGCGAGGTAAAATATACTCAAGGGAAATATTTTACCTTTTCTTGGACATCCTCCGAAACAACTTTTTCTTCCTCTGTCGCCTGGGCCGCAACAGGATAGACGCCATTTTTCTTTCTTCTTGCTTTTTCCTCTCAACTCCTCAACGGCGCTGGGCGCGAACCCACTCAGGGTTGGATGTATAAATAGGCTGATATTGTTTTGCGCTTAACAAGAATAATTAAAGAATGAATTTAAAATAAAAAATAAAAAAAAACAAGTATTTGGGGGAACATTTTCATAAAATAACTTTCAAATTCATCGTACAGTACAATCAGATTATATGAAATAATATAAATGTTTATATTTTAAGTTGGAAAACTAAATTTTTAAATAAGGTGTAACACTGTAATTCGCCAAGCGCATGAGTGTTCCTGTGATAATTTATTTTAGATAATATAAATGCTCCTTCGAATTCAATTTTATTAAATTTCGGGTCTGCCCTTTATGGCCCGAAATGTTTGATAATTTCATTCATTTAATTATATCTAATATAAATTAAATAATTAATCTAATTAATTATATCATTCAAATAATCAAAATATTGGATATGCGTACATGATTTAATTTAGGGAAAATCAGGGAGAGCGAACTAGAGGCAATAATATTTACAGGGAAAGATCTTAAAAGTTGTATTTATTTGGAAGGACTAAATATTAAATATAAATCTAAAATTACCAATTTACCCTTAACAAAATTTCATATATTATCTCTCACCACATCCTATAATTTTCTTTTTTTAACAAAATAATTAAAGTTTATTCAAATTAATTCAAACTAATTGGAATTACAAAAGTACGAAACAACTCTAACTAATTAAATTGAATTCAATTAATAAGTAACACTAACTAATTTATTTGTCCATCATTTAAAAAAAAATAAAACTCGTTTTTTTTTTTAACTTCTTGAATAATAAGCCAATCAAAATCATATAGTTGAATTAAAAATTAAAAAGATATAATAATAAATAATATATAACTTATTCATAATTAATAAGAATAAAAAATATTATGTTGGTTTAAATTTGAATTTTCTTACTCATGTAATGAATTTTTATAAATAATATATAATTTATTCATAATTAATAAGAATAACTACTTTTATTATGACAAATATTTATTCATGTAATGAATTTTTATATCACTTTTTCTTTTTTTTTTAATTTTATTAAATAAGAGGATTTAACTTATTTAAATAAAATAATAGTATGAAATGGATAAGCAAAACTATGAAACAACTTTTTTCCCCTTATGAATGGTAGAACTTTACTGTCTTGCACATTTTTTAGAAAGCCTACATAAAAAAATATTAATTAACAATAATGAAAAAATAAATTAACTATTGGCTATTAATTTAATCAATTAGGATCAGTGTTTGACCTTGAAATTTAAATTAGTTTGAATTAATTCAAATAAATTGTAATTATTTTACTAAATGATATGAGATTTATCAACAAGAAGGGAAGTAAGAAACAGTTACTCATTCAGCAAATCAGCATCTTCCCAAATGGGATGTTCAACTGAAATATCTCTGCCGCAGTCAATGTCAATTCTTTCCTATTCCATTGGTTCGACATTAGTATCTCCCTTCGTATCATCATGCATCACCAAGATTTTATGGTCATGTATAGTATCATGGGAAGAAGAAACTGTATTTATTTTTCCATCAAGAATTCCCTCTGGATCCTCTAAATGATTTTATTTATTTTATTTGTAGCAAGCCTTTCATCTGCACGTGGTCTGGCTATGTTAGGGCCCATACTGTTTAGATTTCCCCTCACAATAATATGTTCGCGTCGGCTTGCTGTGTTTCGGCCATTTTTACCATTTTGCTGCAAGACCTTGGAAGAGGATCCATTTGTCTCTTTTGCCATGTCTTTTAGTTGGGCCCTTGTCTACTTTCTCCTTTCCTACAAGGAGGGCTAATTCTTTGCCTCTCTGGCCATCTGCAATTTTTTCAAATCTCTTGCCATTTGCCACCAATTCCCTTTGACACACTTGATTTTTCTTAGGCTCAAATGGCACTAAACTTTTATTATTTCCTTTTGCACAGGCTAGGTCTGCTTCCACATTGGCCATCCTATCTTCTGACACCGTCTCTTCCTCTTCTGCCAGTTCTCCAACGCCCCAAATCTCATCTGGACGCTTCAATTTTTCAACCCTTGACAAGTTTCAGTCCTTTCCCAGTCTCCTCTTTCATCTCTCTTTTCAAATCTTTCCTTGGGACTCGAACTTTGTTGTTTTTTCCTACAATCATCCATTATCCAAATTCCTCTTCGGTGTTCACATCTTTCTTCTCCGACGAGCTGAAGTTTTTAACAGGTTCCTGTTTACCCATTGAGTCTTCATCATTGTTTTGGGTATTGGCATACACCCAAGGGCAGTTTTCCCTTCGATGGCCATATTTGTCGCAACTAAAGCATATAAGCTTGAGCCCTTCATATTCTACTAAGTACGTTGCATTAGCTGCTATCACCCTTGAAACTAGTTTTTTTTGCTAATTGAGTTCCACACATATACGGGCGTATCGCCCCCTTTCTACCTTAGAAGGCCCTCTTGTAAAATCTGTCAAAGTATTCAAATCCACTTTTAATGTCCTTCCTATGCGGTCTCCAAGCCTGGAGATAAAGTCCCTGTTGTAGCAATGCATTGGGATATTACCCAAGTGACAATTCTCCTCAACGGGTTGTTGAAAGGATCAAAGTGCGGCGTCCATGCTGAATCAAGACACAGTGTTATTGCACCATCCATGGTCCTTCATATAAAACACATTTGTATCTCTCTGTCCACCCCCCTTCTACAAGAAGCGAACTATGAAGTAGTTATTGGGAATGTCGATGAGTTCAAAATCTGGTATTCCCCAAATCCTCGCAAGGTGGTCTTTCAGATTATAAACACTATATCTCTTACCCAGCACCGTGAGCACAAGAGCAGCATTCCAAGGCTTGCACCATTCGCTATACTCTTCGGGAGTGATTGGAACTACAGGACATTTCTCCATGAGTGCCTGGATTTCCGTTGAAGGCTCCGGTAGTTCCCACTCTCTGTTAAGTACATTAAAAAGAAGCACATCTTCTTCCATTCTATAGCCACTATTTGCAACCCCATTAAATCCAATGAGAGAATCTCGGTATGATGGCTGTTTGACCTCTGTTTTCCCCTGTTCACCCTTACCTTCGCTATCTTGTTCCATAGCATTTAGAGTTTCCACTTCTTCTTCATTGCGTATCAGATCAACCATATTTTCATCGCTCCTATTTGAATCAGCTCCAACATTCTTTGTCTTCTTGTTGCTTCCATGAGTCAAGGCGTCCGATGGACGATCAAGTGGAATTTTCCAATGACTAAGATCTTCCATTCGCAGAAATTAACTAGGCATGAAAACCAAGAGAGAGAAAAGAGCCCACTCAGCGCTTCTCGTTCTGAGATACAACTTCATCTAATCTAATCATAAGGAAATCACTTTTCTGGAAAAAAAGAAAAGAAAAGAAAAAAGAAATCGTTGGCATTAATTATGGAGGATTCGATTTAGTACCTTTTTTTCCAACGAAAGGGGATACGATCTAGTTAGACATAGGTAAGCTTGAGCAAAAGCATTAGACATTTAAAATCCGATATGGGGTGTAAGTAAAAGTCTAGAGTTCACATCCTTTTAAATGTACAAAAAAATATTACTTTCTATGTCTTAAATATAAAATCTATTTTGTAATATAAAAGTGAATTTTACATCTAGAATCGAAAAAATAATGTAGTTAGTTTTATCTATAAAAATAATTGTATATATTCATAAATTTTAAAACTTAATATTTAATTTAATTTTAAACAAGTTCAATTGACCTTGAAATTGAAATAAGAAACTAGAATAATTGATGCTGGTAAGAATGGTATCTTTTGCCAACGATAACACCAGAATATGACTTGAATCATCCAATTTTGTATTCTACTCCTTCCGATTCTAAATATAAGATCCCTTTTGTAATATAAATTATACTATAAAAGGAGTTTTATATTTAAGACCAGAGGAGTACAAAGTTTAAGGAATAAGTCATAATATTCATGATTTTTAATATATTTAATATTGATATTGATAATTATCCTGAAATAATTGTTGGGGTTAAACCTAACTTTGATAACCAACTAAACATAGACATACTTCGTACGGAGCTTGTGAGGTATTTGGAGGGAAACCAAACTATGATTTGAAAAGCGTTTTTACGATTTAAGATATACATATGTGGAAGAGTTTGTCTCGTTTTGCGAAAAATGCTTCTAAGAAGCATTATGGGAGTTGCCAAACACCCCCAATAGCTCCCTTTTTTTTTTTTTTTTGATACAGACAGTTTATAATTCTTCAAGGCATGTGATTATAACTTGCTGAAATCATGTATTGATATATTAATACACATGTTTTGCAATGCATCAATTTAAAGAATGAATTGTACTACATGAGTACATGTCTTATGAAATACATTGGCTATGAATTTTTTTTTATAGTGATATTGATAAAGCAATAAGTATTATTCATGTATCATTTTTTTTTATTAATATAATATTTGGTCC